TGATGCTTTCACAGGGCTTCTGTAAAAAACAGTGAGCTGGACTGGACAGCACGGACTTCAAACTTAATAAAAGTAATGTTGAAACCAGATTTAATGATGGATATTTTTTTTCCATAATATGCACATTTGCAGAATGTTTTGTGACCAGGAAGTGCGTGACTGCACCTTGAAACCTATTTTTCCCATTTCCTCAAACACACCACATTTCCGAAACAACCAATCAAAACAGTTTCTGGCTACTAGGCTTGTAAACAGAGAGCTGCCAGGCCTCAAAGTTTGGAGACGGGGGGAGCCAGGAAGCACTTTATAAAGAGTCAAACCATTACAAACTCATACAAGGGGATAAAAAAGACGTTTTACATGGTGAAATGTGACTGATAAAAACTTAGGAGCTTAATCCGACACCAGTTTGACGATGAATAACGTCGGGTGACGAGTCTGACTTTTTTTTCACATTGGACTCCACAAGAAGAAATCCCATGCATACTGCCTGCTTAAATGTTCGCTACGTCAGAACTTATTCGCCAAATGTGTTTCCATCTCTGTTTTTGGGGCATTTACTCTTACAGGATGGGGGAAATTGGTCTTGGCGGAGGTTTGCACTCTCCGAGTGCTTCTTGTGTATAAAATTTTTATTTTTATTTTTTAAATGAAATGAATAAATGAATTTAAAAAATGTTTGACTCATAAATGAGAATGTAAGAACCGAGCCTAAAATGCTTCTGGGCAAATAAAAATACTGTTTAGGCCCAGACTGTGGGCATGTCTTTCAGTATTTAAAAGGGCCTGAGAGAAGCTCTGCTCTCAGCAGCCATCTTTCAGCAACAAGAGATCATTTAAAGAAGCTTTCCGGGAATAAAAACAAATCAACTCAAGCAATCAATTATTTAATTTCAAACTGCTATCAGCTAAGGAGCGGACAGACAATCTGCCAAATGAAACATTCGGTTCTGATTCATCAGCTGCAGTAACCAGAGAAGCTATAAAGACATTTCTCCCATCATCCCTCGTACCTCTTAGTGGGAATAGCAACCAAATACAGGGTTAGCAGGAAAGCTTGGTTCTCCTTTGTGTGTTTATTCCTGCACATGTTTTCGTTTTGACCCCAACAGGAACTGTTTGTGATTATTGAATGACTTGGTTGTAACAAACACTTGACTTGTCATTGAGCAGTGAACGACGACGTCCTGCCAGCTGGAAGGATGCCAGACATTTCACCTACATCCATCCCCTGCTGAAGCAAATGTAGAGCGGTTTGGAAACATTGATTTTTTTAAACCACTTTTTACTTGAATACGTTCCATGTCAAAGGAAATGGAATAAACAAGTTTCCCAAAGCTGATTGTTTCCTCCAAACAAAGCTGAACACTTGCATCAGGTTTAGCAGCGAACCCTGCCTCGAAACACATAACTGCACACAAWCCCAGGCCTCCAGCAGACCTGTGAGGCAAAGCCGCTCCTCCCGTCGCTGTAATTATTGCTTCACTGTGTTGTTTACACTCCTGGAGTGGGCTGAGTTTGCTGAAACTGCATGAACTTATGGAACTCAGGAGAACACTTTACTTTGGAGACCTCTTGTTTATGCATAACGGTGAAACAGCTTGTAAATGACGCCTGGTTCAGTTCATAAAACAGCTTTGAGTTCAAGTTTCAGAAACTTTTTACTTGACTAAAAAAAATAACCAAATGAAAAAGTGTAATGTTTTAAAATTGGTGGAAACATTTCATATGTTGGTGTCTTGTGYTTTTGTAAAGTAACTGAGCAGCTTGGGTGTATTTTAGCTGCATCGGCAGTAATTTGTTGACACAACAGCTTGACGAAAACACAGGAGGTCTTGAGATGCTGCTGCTCTTAGCTGASTAGTAACATTTTCTAATTGTTCGTTAAGATCTGCTGGTCTGTAGTAAAACAGCCACATGGGTGCTAAATTCTGACTTCTGCGTTGTCTGCGTCTCTTTCAGTACCAGCAGCGTTGACCCTTGACCCCATCACAGCTCACCAAAGACTGATCCTCTCAGACGACTGCACCATCGTGGCCTACGGGAACCTGCACCCGCAGCCTCTTCAGGACTCCCCTCGGCGCTTCGACGTGGAGGTGTCCGTCCTGGGGGCGGAGGGCTTCGTGTCCGGCGTCCATTACTGGGAGGTGATGGTGTCCGAGAAGACGCAGTGGATGATGGGCGTGGCCAACGAGACGGTCAGCCGCAAGGGCAGCATCCAGATCCAACCGAGCCGCGGCTTCTACTGCATCGTCATGCACGACGGCAATCAGTACAGCGCCTGCACCGAGCCCTGGACCCGCCTCAACGTCAAGAGCAAGCTGGAGAAGGTGGGGGTGTTCTTGCACTAYGCGAAAGGCTTGCTCATCTTCTATAACGCAGACGACATGTCCTGGCTCTACACRTACCGAGAGAAATTCACCACTAAGCTCTTCCCATACTTCAGCCCCGGCCAGAGTCACGCAAACGGCAAGAACGTGCAGCCGCTGCGCATCAACACGGTCCGTCTTTAAGAACAGCGCCCCGCGGTTGCTAAATGACCAAACAGAAGATTCCCTCACCGTTGAATCTTTAGGACAATGTGTGTTTGAAAAATGGGTAATGAGGTGTTTTCAATGTTCCTTTCCTTCAGGTTATTAGGAGTCGTGTTCGGTGTTGCTTTTGAACTTTTGTCTTAAAGTTTGCACATGGGCTTCATTCTGCAATCTTTTTATTTATAAAGATGCCACTAAAGGTAGACAGGGGGACCTAAGGTTTGTGGTGGCAATCAGAGGGGGGGAAAAACTTTTATTTTGGAAGTACATGTCTACAGCCCACTTTTCCTGGGCATTCTGCTTCCTATCAAGCTCGTGGCTTTGTCACGTGTCAAAAAACAAGAACAAGATGAAAAATGGTCTGTTTTGTTTTTCTTTGCTCTAATCTTGTCCTTGCTGTTTTTGTGGAAAATGATTGACAGCACAGACATTTCAACCAATCACTCTTATCTTTTCTGTCAACATGTGGTGGTTTATAAATTATTATTTGCTTTTTAGCCAAAAAAATATATTAATAAACCCAACTTTTTATTTTGTTTAAGCACATAGTTTGTTTCTCCCACTGGTCACATCCAGTTTTATCACTGTGAGTAAAGCTCATGTTTGTGTCATCCAATCCTGACTGATCAGACCTTTTTACGGAGTGGGGATGAAGTAGTGCAAAAAGAAAAAAAAAACCTGTTAATATCAGAGCAAGGACTTCCTGGTGTTTGTATATAAATGATCAAAGGTTTATAGGAATAAGTCTCTTGTCCTGCTGGTTCATGGTTAARTTTCTATTCTTTTTCCCAAAAAAAATCGACCTTTTTTATTTTATCCTKAAGTGGGCTCGTGCTTCACTACTTTCCTTTTGATGTCTGAGCGTAACGCATCTTTGCTTCCAGTCGAGTTTTATTTTCATTTAGTCATTTTACCAAACTGATATTAAATCACACCAACAAAGTAGATGTGAGATGTTTGGGTTTTAAAAGCCTAACATCTCCGACGGGAAACACTAATGAATTGAGATACGAGACCCAACTGCTTTCTTATTTAGGTCACGTCTTTTGTTAGGTAAGATTAAGCCGAATGTTACAGGGGAAATTGCAATTATCTGATAAAATGGAAATGAGTGGGTAAACTTGAGCATTTCAGCGTCTGCATTTCTAAGTCCGCGGCTGTGTTGCATGGTGATAAAATCACTGATTCCTCCCGAGGCTCAGTCGTGTTTATGTTTCTGCCCTACGTGCCTCAAGTGCTCTTGTTTATCATAAGTTATACAGAAATCTGCTGTGAGAGCCTGGAGTCACTCAGCCAAGCCAGAACACTGAGACGTGTGTGTGTGTGTGTGTGTGTGTGTGTGTGTGTGTGTGTGTGTGTGTGTGTGTGTGTGTG